TATAACTGTAATTGATGCTATTAATTAAATGTTTTTATATAATAACTAGATTTTATCAATTTGTGAAAAAGTATTTAATAAAACGCATTTTTTCGAATAAAAATATATTTTAGAATGTTTATAAAAAAAAAAAAATACAAATAACTTATTTAGATTATACTTTGGAATGTGTTTGAATGTGTTTATATGTGTTAATATGTTTCTTACATTTGCATATTTAATTCTGTACTTATAACTAGCAAAAATATTTTGTTTTTATTAAGACATATGATATTATAATTTAGTTATAATAAAATGTAGAAAATAATATGCCAAAAAAAGTATTTGTTAGATACAATAAATGAGTGTGTAAGAACTTCACTCAATAAGCAATGGCTAGTATTTTTTTTTACAAATTTGAATAGATTGAGCCATTTGAATCGTTGAATTCGTTTGACTGCATCTCAATTTTTTTTATAAGAGTACATTTTTATTTTTCTAAATTATTATAATCATACATTTTTTTTTTGTGTGAGTAAATATTGACTTTTAAATATGAAATTGTATATAAGAAAACATTAATTAATTTTATTATTTATTATAAAATGTATATCTTATTATATTTATATATTAATGTATCATAGCTTATTAATTCTAAGAATACTGTCGGTAATAATTTCCGTTGTTAATTTATGGAAATGAAAATTTAAATACATGTTTAATTTGTGAGATTAATCATAATAAGTAGTCAGTCATATGTTACGAATAATAATTGATATATTTTCTTGGAATTCAAACATAAATCCGCTTATAAGTCAAAGCTAATAGTTATTTATAATACATTTTCTTGTACAATTACCTACAACACCTTACGAGAAAGTGGTTGAGAATTAAATTCAAACATGTCTCTGTAGTTTTTCTAATTTAATTCAAAAATCGTTTTTCTCTCCGCTCCAATTTATTTTATATTTATTTTTTGTGACCTAAAAATAGGTCTTTGTTTTTATAATATATTTCTACCTATTTAATGTTATCAAATGAATTTTTATAAATATTTTATTCTAAACAAATTATCAATGTATTATAAAATGTATATTTTGTAAATTTGTTAATAGTTATGAAGTACGATCATTACCAGGACTTGTAAGTTCATGCATTTGCATATCAATCTTGCAAAGTTGTATTTAATGCTAGATGACATAGAAATACATTTCATTGTACCACGGTTAAATATGTGAAACCTTATTTTGTATGTTTTTGCATATTTGGCATATTTTTGTATATTTGGCATATTTATGCATATTTCTATTTTATCGGGCATATTATACAACAATCTATCAAAAATCTAAATGGAATATATATATAAAATTAAAAATATAAATTTTGTTATCTTTTCTTTTTTATATTCTTGATACTCGTATATTTAATGAATAAATTTCTTTCAAAAATTTCAGACTTAAAATATATTACTGACAGAGATAAACATTATATGCAATTCATGAAAGTTCAAGATTAGTGTTAAATAGTATTTGAAATCTATATTTTTTTTTAATTGTGACAAAAGAATTAAATATAGCTATAAAAAAAAAGAATAGATAATTCATGTTATTTCAAAAATTATAAATAATGATTTTTTTTAAGTATGTATTTTTTAAGTGCATAATTTTAGATATCTAGTGCATGTAAATCCATATTTTTTAATTTTTTTAGGCATATTTCAAAGCATATTTTGCCAATTTTAAGTGTATAAATGCATGCTTATTTAGGCTTTTTTAGAGCATGAACTTACAAACCCTGGTTATTACACTTGGAACATTTTCATGGTTCCTTTACCTCAAAATATTAGTCTAAATTGACTTTATATTACATTTTTAGATTTCAAGAGATTTTAAATTTTATATAATGAAAATCAGAAAACAACTTGATTTTAATTTTCTAATTATTAAAACTTATTAAAAAATATGTTAAATTGTGTAAGTAAAATAAAATATTAACTCAATTTCTAAAATCCAGAATCATTAAATTAAAATTTGTTGAGTTGAATTTAATTGTTTTCAATGTATATTGATTTTTAATTTTTACTAAGTAAAAATAAGTAGAGTAAGTCTTAATCTATTTTACTTATTGAAAAAGTGAAAAATTCTTTAACCAACTTAGTATAATGTACTCATAAAGCTTTTTGTTAAACTTATATATTAGCTGGTTGTGAATGAATAAGCTAAAGTGGCGGAGTTTATTTTATTATTATATAGTTATCCCTTGCTTTTTTAAAAAATAATATACATTTAAACCGAATTGTTGAATTGTTAAGTTGTAAGATTATCTTTCAAATATTTTTAAAAATAGAATAAAAGGTGAATTCAGAGGTTATATCATAAGTTCAAAGCTGTATAGAGGCCAAATACCGTCTGTAATAATAACAGTTATTGTACTATTTATAATTTAACGTATTATAATTTAAGCAAGAAGGGTTTGATAAATAGCTTCTCACTGTTACATTTAACCTCGTGTCCAGCGTTATTTCAAGATAGCAACAACCAATTTTTATTTTTATTTACTTTATAGTTGCTCTTATCGCTGTAGTAGTATTTTTATCTGTAGGTCAATAATTAAGTTGACATATATATTTGGTTGAATGAATTACCAACGACAAATATTTGTATCTCACTCACTATTTATTTATTTTAAGAGTTTTTTTTTAATTTAATTTTTTTTAATTAAAGTAGTTTATTCAAAAACGTATTATTACAGCACAAAGATTAATTTGTAAAGATTAATAACAAAATTTATTTTGGTTTATAATGTTATAATATTTTATTTGTTATTTGTATTGAATAATATTTTCGAATAGTAATAGGTCAACAATTAATGCGTATAAATATAAAATAAAGGATGATGATTAAACTTTTAAATTTGTTATTTTGAGAACTTTTATGTTTTGTGTAATAAAATATTTATATCTTAAACGATAAAATAACAATGTATCTTTCTCATTGGTTTCATTTATAAAATAGTAAACGAGAATATTATGTAAAATATGTGTAAAACCCAATTTTTGTCGTTACTGGAAATATTTTTCTTTAGCGTTATCGGGTCGCTTAAAAACATCACACCGATCTATAATAAAAGTAGTTCTGACATGGAGCTATTTACTAATCCTTAATGTGCAGTAGATGTGTACAAAATTTCAACGAAATTGCCCAGGTGTATTATAAAAATAACTATTTATAACTTGAGTTGGATAAGTTTGTCGATCATGTTTTATTTTAATAGCTGATAAAAATATTTTTCTTAAAAACAGATGAAAATGGATAAGTTTGGATGAGTATGTTTTTACTACTTCGTAAAAGGTCTAAGCGATCTTGTTAAAATATTGTAATTATATTTATATGATATGGATTATGATATGGATTATGATATGTGATATGTATATACGACTTATAAAATTAGTTATAAATTGAATTGTGTAAAACTACAATGATAGCTTATTCCGATGTTTAATACATTTAAGAAATGTTAAACACGAACTCGGAAACAAACAATTTCATTTCGCCAATTTATAAATATTAAAATGTTGTTTTACAAGGTTTTGTTGTAAATTGTATTAGTAGTATTAAAACACAATAGTTCGTTTACGTTACGGTATGTGTAGCGATACTGTAGCCACTATACTCTCAATGTTTTTTTTTTTCATTTTTCTTTGAAAATGAATTCAAATTTACGCGTAATTATCCGAGGACCAAGGTTTTTCGCATATTAATTACTATATTTTCACTATGCAAACGCAATCAAATCGTGATCATGGAAAAACCCTAATTATTATAATAATATTTCATGTACTGCGAAAGCGCACTTGTCGAGTACTAAACTGTAAGCTCGGCCGCAAGAAAACGTTGCGTATGCGTCATTATAATAAAATAAATGTATAGTTTTTGGCGTTTTGTGGAGAACGTTTAGTACAACAATTTGTATTCTTATCTTTTTGTTTAATCTTAAAAGGGGAATTTCGAATACTTAGTGTTTAATGAGAACTCAATGATTACTGCACTGCTTGCTATCGGTTTTTTACTCAAGCTGTGTCGTATACGATTTGGAAGACGCAGTGTTATTGCAATAGGCACACCGAGCGAAGACGACCAACGTTTGCGGTACATTTGCTTGAGCAAAAAAAAAAAAAAAAATTAATCGAAGTTGTACAGTGCAAATTTACTGTCAACGACATGCAACATAGTACGTAAAAAAAAGTGCTGAGCGCACTGTGCTTTTTTGCACGTTCATCACCGGTGCGTTTGAAGTGAATACGAAATTTACCATCGCGTTGATCGATGACTGACACTACTCGAGCGACGGAAACGTGGTTTCGTCGAGCGCATTAAAATTATGTGTTTGTAACCGTTGTTTTTTTACTCGAGTGTGCTCTGGGGCATCGGTCAACCGATGGTCCGTACACGATCTGCAAAATCTATCATCTTTTCTCTTTCACGCGTTTGCAGCTCGTCGGTAGACTAGTGCTGTACCACCATATAGCATTATTAAATTGATTGTATAGTTCATTGTCTCACCGCCATGCGTTTCTAAATCGTAATTACTTAATATATATTTTAAGAGTTACCCCTCACAAAAGAAATGAACGAGTTCCATTTTGTTGTACCGCAGTTTTTTTCTTATCTAGTTATGTTTTTTGGTAGATGGATTTTATTTGTATGCGAGAATAGTTTAACATCTAGAACAAGATCGGAGAAATTGTTGTTGAATCCCGGCCGGGGCTTCTGTAGTTCTCTACATTATGAGGTTTTTCTTTTTACATCCCAATATAACTATTTATTTATTTTATTAATAATAAGTAATTATTATTGCACTCGCATTGTTTTCGTGTATTAATTTTTTGGATACCACGTGTATCTCTAATCTTAACTGGGCATTTGTCGTTCATCCTTCCGCTTCATCTTCGTTGTCATTATCGTTGTCATCGTAGTTTTTTTTTTAATAATGACTAAATTCAACGTGTATGTTTACCGCAGGTATGGACGCGTGCAGAGCGTTAAAATATTGGCGAGATCGAAAGAAGAGGTGGCGCTGGGTGGCACTGGCGTGTGCGCCACCGTTTCGTTCATGGACATCAAGTCCGCCTCGAAAGCGCACAACGTGGACCAAAAGATGGATGATCAGTCCCTCAGCACCGAGTACCACGAGCCCGCGGCCATACCGTCGGCAAGTCCAACCCTACCGCCGCACCTGTATCCGGCCACCGCCAGGCCGTACATCCACGGGTGAGTACGAATTGAGCAGCGCATAATCGCGCAAGTGTTTTTATAATTTAGAGAATATAAATAACACCCCCTCGACAGTTGTGATTGTTTCTATTCGTCCCAAACACCTAACCCGCACTACTGCCACCATCGCCGTTCACTTCAACGAAAAATTGAATCTCGTATGAATATTATACATATTATTAAGGGGATTGCAAACGGTCGGTTATTTTAACTAAAACATACCAATCTTTTGTCAACTGTGACAATCGACCTAGTCATGCGATTAAAATTTTGAAAACTGATTTGAATTTGGCTTTATGTCTTCTTCAGATCGATCAGTTCACATTTCCCAATTTCACTTCCTATCTATCGTCGTGTGTAAAAAATAATGTACTATTGAGTTTAAAATGTATTAATAATAAATAGTCTGTAGACTTACCCGATGTGACACGTATCGCGTCGTTAACATTTATTCTAATGTTGGTGTAGTTTTTACGATTTTATATTTTTTCTAATTATTTCATTCCCGCCTCCGCGTTTTCCGTGTGTTTTCTATGAAGTTAACCTCACTCTCAGTAATGGCGTGTTATTAATTATATCACTTTAAGGTGTATTTACAATTTACTGTTGTCGCTGTCATATTTATTTTTAATCCGAGTTATTATAATTTATTATTAACTAGAGGTAGTAATTTTTATGATTTTACATATTTGTTTCTACTCTATGAAGTAAAACGGGAGTGAGATATCTTTACGATTCACGAAACAGAATTCACAGAAAAAATATTATTTTGCATAAAAAATATTTTATAGAGGTTAGGGAATATTCAATATGTTTGAGAATATTTTATATACATTTTTGTTTTTGAAGATTTTATTTTTGGAAATATTTTTTTCGAGGATAATAATTTATATTACCTATTATTTGTTTGCAAATACATGCACGTATTACGTACATCGGCCTTTTGATAATATTGATTAACGAATACAATATTCACAATGTGAGTTATTTTTATATTCTTCTAAGTTGTTATACAAATTAATCATTAGATATCAGGGGTGATCCACGTAAGGTTAAAATTTGCATTAATACCGTATAAAAATGTATTGTAAATCAAATCAATAGTAAATTATTACATTTAGTAATTGAGAAATTTAAACCAAGTACTTAATATATATATATATTTTTTTTTAAAAAAAATTTGTATAGAGTATCTCAAAAAGGAACGTAGGATTTAAATTTGCTATAAATTAAATGTATTTCTTTTGAAAAAAACAACAATTATATCATTCTCTCCATGAGAAGTTAAGGGTTAACAGTGAAAAACAATATCGGGCATATGATCTTCCCTACTAGCCCTACAGACGATTATTATTTCCATAAAATTTACCATCATCCGATCACACGTTGCCTCATCAAGTTCGTTGAGGACACGACGAATTTCTTGCTTAAGTTCCAAGACATTTCGAATTTTGATCTGGTAAACTCATAACTTAGTGTATCCCCCCTAAAAAAAATCACAGCGTCAAGTCGCAAGATCGAAGTGAGTAGTCTCCACGCAACGAGATTAGTCTGTCCAGGAACTTCTCACACAACAGAGTGATTGTTCCTCTTAAAGTGTGACAAGTTAAAACCAAACATTTTTTATGTTCATTTAGTCCAATTAAGGCCAAAAAATTACTGAGCTCAGTAGGTATTTTTGTATGGTTACATCAAGACGGCAAAACTTGTTACACTTCAAGAGAAATATAGAAATAATAGATTTAAATCCTGTGTTATTTTTGAGACGCCCTATATTTTTAAAGTCATAAAGCATCATAAATTTTGTATTTTTAAAGAATATTTAGAGAATATATTATCTTTTTTAAACGACATAAAAACATCATATTTTAAGGATTTTAAGTGAATATTAATCCGACCTCTAATTATAACCAATTCGTCGTTGTTGAACGCATGTTATGTTGCCTCTGTTATCGTATATTTATCTACAGAATAGCGTGAGTTGAGGAGTAAAGTAACGTATAAGATTTAAATACATTGAGATAATAAAGTACGTCAACATGTGAAAAGTAAAAATACAATAACGGACATGATAGTTCATTTAAGATACTATTTAAAAAAGTTACTAATTCAGAGACAAAAGTTGTTTAGCGTAAGATAACTAATATTGGTTGCAGAAAGAAAAAATTGAAAATAATCATTACTAGAAAATCATTTGCTACTGATCATAATTAGTATAATCTTTATTAAATGTTCAATAAAGTTCTACAAATGTTCGATTTGTTTATACGAACTAAATACTAAACTTTGTACAGAATAAATTAAAAATATTTAATATTATCAATGCTTCTTATTAAATTATATTCCTATTTATTCTACAACTGATTTGTCAATTTTCTTGTATTTAATTTTTATTTGGTTAGATAAAACTTAAAAAAATAATCGATTTACTTTAAAACTAAAGTACTGTAGTTTATTATAAATAAAACTCTAAATACAAAAAGAAAACTCTGAACGTATTGAATTATTTATTATTTATTAGTATTAAAATTTTTTTTTAAACTTTTGTCAACTTTTTCATGACATTTTTGTTGCTAAATATATATACCATTTGCTGAATTAATATTTCCATAAAATGTGACGAAAATAATATTACATTTTCTAATTGATTTTCATAGCATTACATTCAACTTGTTTTTCCGTTCTCTTCTCCTTTTGTTAAAAGATAATTGATAAGCCCATAACGAAATTAAATTCAGTAAGTATTATATTAAAGTATACACTACTAAAAAAAATGTCATATTCATTTGGTTTACATTACAAACAGCTGTGGAATATAAGATATATAATACCAATAATTAACAATCGCATGTAGGTATTCAACTAAAATAGCAGTCTATCATGATAGATAAACTATATTATATTCTTAAAAGTGGCTATATAGAATGATTCAGAAATTGCGATGATTGAGGACAAATACAATAACTTAAAAATATATAGTGAGAGATTTCATTTCTACATTTTATTTTACCAATGAATAAATAAATAAATAATAATTTATTCTATTTTTAAATAGTTTTAGATTTGATTTTACCATAATTTTTTACAATAAAAAATAGTCTAAATAATTATATTTTGTATATAGTATAATATTAATTGATATGAACCGATTTGTATGTGCCAAGGTCAGAAATCAGTGCTAAATATTTAACCATTTACAGTTTGTACCCACAGCGTTACTATATTTTCCTTCATTAATTTCGACTTATGTTTTTATGCCAGAAAACATAAGGCAGATTTTTGAATAAATTAAATTTGCAATAATTTAATTATAATAAATAATATTCTAGTAAGTATTAACGATTGATTCTATTGTTTTATTTTGTCGACACTGTGGATGTTGTTAGGATCTAACTTCATACCTTCTTGTTGTCGCAGCTACGAGCTTTGGTACACTTTAAATCCATTTAAAATATTTCTGAAACATTGTGTTTCTGTTTATGTATATCTGTTAATATCATATCATATATATATATAATTCTTTAACATTTATTTGTATACTGTCTATTTAACTAATTTATCGTAGTAATGGTTTTATAGTCCATGATTGCATGCCACGTAGACATACAAATAACTACTGCTGTGGAATCGCGAACATAAAATAATAAACGCATCGAAATCATAACACTATTAATACTTTAAATTACTACTTTCGAAAAAAAATCAAATATTGAGCATTGGAATTTCATTAGTTTTAAAAATATGAAAAATGTTTCATACCAATTTATAGTTTATTGTTAAATTGAGTATGTAGACAGGTCGTTAAAATTTTAAAAATCGATATTTTTCATTGTATTCCATTCTAGTTTATGACGTGTGTATACATAACTATTATTTTTTATATTATTAAATATTTTAACTTGATTCGGTTTTAACATATTTTATAGCAATTAACATTTTAATAAAATGCATTACAATATTTATGGCGTGCAAGTTGAGACGCTATTTGAAAGAAGTATCGAGTAATTGATTAATACAATTAAAAACAATAGTTTATTTGTTGTCTTGAACTCGAAAATGGTGTCAACATAGTTTAACTGTAAAAACATACCGTTAATTTCTCGTTTTTAATCAAATACAACCTTCAACGTTCATAATTTAACACTTAATGTAAAATATTTTTCTTATTTTTCGTTACCTAATAAAAATGTTTGGTTATTTTATCATAGGTCTAAGAAAACATACGAATATATCTTAATTAATTATATCAAACAATGGGATAATATTGTTGTTAATAGGATAATGTATATATTTTATCTCATTGATAACTAAATAAAATCAGCTTTTTTAGGTTATGTAAAAAATAATAATACTCCATCGGCGGCTATAAATGGTTGAGAATTATTTAATTAGATATTCACATGCTTAGACCAGTGATTAATACTGTAATAAAGAATATTTTAGTAATAGAGAATCAACTGTTAAAATAAAATTATGAGATAAATTTACTATTAATACTACTACTACTACTACTACTACTACTACTACTACTACTACTACTAC